AGTTGTGATCCCTTGTTACTGTGTCCCATCTTTGAAACACCCTGACTCTGTCCACGTTGTCGATTACTCTCAATATTTTATATGTCGTGTGTGTGTGGGTGGGTGGGTGGGTTGGTGGGGGTTTGTGTGTGTGTGTGGTATTGTTACTTGCTGAAATATGCTCATAATATTCAGTGTTTTATATAGAATGTTTTTGTAATTATGGTATGCATTGGTAATTTCCTTGCAATCACAAGCTTATTTAACCCTTTGACTGTTTTGGTCGTATATATACGTCTTACGAGCCACCGTTTTTGACATATATATACAGTGGACCCCCGCATAACGATATTATTTCAATCCAGAAGTCTGTTTGGGTGCCGTTATAGACCGAATTTGTTCCCATAAGAGATATTGTGAAGTAGATTAGTCCGTTTCAGACCCCCAAAAAATACACCTACAAAAGCACTTAACAAAAATACACTTACATAATTGGTCGAGTTGGGAGCTGATCGTTATGCGGGGGTCCACTGTACTCATAAATTCTAGCGGCTTCAAATCAAGCAGGAGAAAGCTGGTAGGCCCACATGTGAGAGAATGGGTCTGTGTGGTTAGTGTGCACCATATAAAAAAAATCCTGCAGCATGCAGCGCAAAATGAGAAAAAGAAATCTCCGACGTTTTTTTTTTAATTAAAATACCAACTTTGTGGTTATTTTCGTATAGTATTTATGGTTGAACAGTGGACCCCCGCATAGCGATATTAATCCGTGCAAGAGAGCTCATTGTTATGCGAAATTATCGTTATGTGAATGAATTTTCCCCATAAGAAATAATGGAAATCAAATTAATCCGTGCAAGACACCCAAAAGTATGAAAAAAAAATTTTACCACATGAAATATACATTTTCCTACACACAAAGAGAAGGATACATGCACAATAGTAGAGTAGTACATGCACAATATATATTGTGCATGTACTACTCTACTAAATGAAGAATAAATGACACTTACCTTTATTGAAGATGCAGCAATGACTGATGAGACACTGTGTCCTGGGAGTGCCTTTTCCTCCTGAGTACTGTAGGTCCTGTTTGGCATTTTCTTCCAGAACAGGCCTTATCACACTGTGTATGCCACTACGATTCTTAAATCTCTCAAACCAACCTTTGCTGGCTTTAAATTCACCAATATGAGCACTAGTTCCAGACATTTTTCCCTGTTCACCTGGGTGTTAGTGGACTGGTGTGGGTTGCATCCTGGCAGACAAGATTAAGGACCCCAATGGAAATAAGTTAGACAGTCTTCGATGACACTGACTTTTTTGGGTTATCCTGGGTGGCAAATCCTCTGGGGTTAATTGTTTCTTGGTATTCTCAATAAGCCACACCAACAACAGTGCTACAGCAGCAGCAGCAGCAGCAGCAGCTGACAGTGCTACAGCAGCAGCAGCAGCAGCTGACAGTGCTACAGCAGCAGCAGATGGTACTACAGCAGCAGCAGACGGTACTACAGCAGCAGCAGCTGACGGTGGTACAACAGCAGCAGCAGCTGACGGTGGTACAGCAGCAGCAGACGATGCTACAGCAGCAGCAGACGATGCTACAGCAGCAACAGACGGTACTACAGCAGCAGCAGCAGCTGACGGTGGTACAACAGCAGCAGCAGCTGACGGTGGTACAACAGCAGCAGCAGCTGACAGTGCTACAGCAGCAGCAGACGATGCTACAGCAGCAGCAGACGATGCTACAGCAGCAGCAGATGGTACTACAGCAGCAGCAGCAGCAGCTGACGGTGGTACAACAGCAGCAGCAGCTGACAGTGCTACAGCAGCAGCAGACGGTACTACAGCAGCAGCAGCAGCTGACGGTGGTACAACAGCAGCAGCAGCTGACAGTGGTACAACAGCAGCAGCAGCTGACAGTGCTACAGCAGCAGCAGACGATGCTACAGCAGCAGCAGATGGTACTACAGCAGCAGCAGCAGCTGACGGTGGTACAGCAGCAGCAGCAGCTGATGGTGGTACAGCAGCAGCAGCAGCTGATGGTGGTGCAGCAGCAGCAGCAGCTGATGGTGGTGCAGCAGCAGCAGCTGACAGTGCTACAGCAGCAGCAGCAGCAGCAGCAGCTGACAGTGCAACAGCAGCAGCAGCTGACGGTGGTACAGCAGCAGCTGTACCACCAATAGTAGCGATGGTTGATTGGGGTTTATTATACAACCTGGCCAGCTCGGAGACACACACTCCACTTTCATACTTATCAATGATCTTTTTCTTCATCTCTATAGTAATTCTCACCCTTATTGCTGTAGGGTTGGCACTAGAAGCTTTCTTGGGGCCCATGGTCACTTATTTTATTCGTAATAATACGAAATGTTCCGATTGTATGCTTGGATGTTACCACGGAGGCTGGCTGGTAAACAATGCCACCGGCAGAACATGCGAGCGTGGCTCAGGCCGCACATAGACGCGTCTCAGATGAACAGCGTTGAGCGGGTTTTTTAGCGGTATGCGAGGCAAAATCTTGGCGATAAAATGTAGCGGTATGCGGATTTAACGTTATGTAAGGCCAACGGTATGCGGGGGTCCACTGTATTCTCGTTTTCTTGGTCTCATTTGATAGAATGGAAAACATATTATAGAAATAGAGGTGATTTTGATTGGTTTTACTAGGAAAAGAACCTTGAAATGGAGCTCAGATTAGGGGAATGTTTGATTTTTGCCGATGTTCAAAAGTAAACAAATGATGTCATTTTCCATTAAATGTCCAAGTAGCCATTCTGATATGCAGTCATGAATGGTTTGACATTATTTATACAATTATTATAATATTGCAGTAGTCTGCATAACAGTAAATTTTCTGTTTTTTGTTTGAATAAAAATTCAAAATAGAAAGCAAGAGTAATATCAGAGGGGCCTGGAGACGTGACTGATGAGCAAAGAAAATGTTATTTTAGAACCAGGAATGTCTGCATTGTTCATTCTGCACCCTATTTTGAAATTCTCATATATTTTAATTTTCGTGAAATTGGCCAAATTGCAAATTTCTGACCACATTATTGGGTAGTTGAAATTGGTAAATGGGCAGTTTCTTGTACTCAATAGATAGGAAAAATGGAGTTCTAAATAAATATCTATGAGTTTGGTCGACTGGAACAATGGAATTAGCCGAAAATAGGGCTCAAATTGGGTGAAATCGCCAATTCATAAATATCGCCTAGGTCGCTAACTTCGCGAGAGCGTCATTACAATCGGGAAAAGATTCTCTATCATTTCATAAGATTTTTTTTTTTTTTTTTTTTTTTTTAAATTTTGTGACGCCAGGAGACACCTCAGGATTTGGGATTGCGGCAGTCAAGGGGTTAAATGAGAATTTTGAAGTATACATGTATTTTAGTAAGCCCTCAATTTATAGACTAATAGGGAATATCGAGTAGTGAGTAATGGTGATTGTTTGTGGGCAGAGATGAGATTGTTTTGTAGTGATTGTAATAATAGGCAGTTTTGTAACCAATCTACTTTTTCCATTTTCTTTTAGTGGTTGACCCCTTTCTGTTTTGTCCTGTATTACTGAATGTTGTTAAATTGAGGGTTTATGCATTTCTGCTTCTCATCTGGAGTCCTCAGTGGTAAAAAATTCTTAAGTTTATTGGCAAGATAAAGTTATTGTATTTATCCCAGAATACATTTAAAGGTAGAAAGTTGAAAGTGAACATAGGTAAGAGTAAGGTGATGAGGGTATCAAATGATTTACATAAAGAAAAATTGGATATCATATTGGAGAGAGGGAGTAAGTAAGTTTATTCAAGTATACACAAATACAGTTACATAGAATTATCATACATAGCAGCATATGTGTAGAGAACCTAGGATAAGTGAATGTTTTCAGATATTTGGGAGTTGACTTGTCAGTAGATGGGTTTATGAAGGATGAGGTTGACCATAGAATTGATGAAGGAAAAAAGGTGAGTGATGCATTGAGGTATCTGTGGAGACAAAAAAGTGTTATCCATGGAGGCAAAGAAGGGAATGTATAAATAACAAGGGAATGTATGAAAGTACAGTGGACCCCCGGTTAACGATATTTTTTCACTCCAGAAGTATGTTCAGGTGCCAGTACTGACCGAATTTGTTCCCATAAGGAATATTGTGAAGTAGATTAGTCCATTTCAGACCCCCAAACATACACGTACAAACGCACTTACATAAATACACTTACATAATTGGTCGCATTCAGAGGTGATCGTTATGCGGGGGTCCACTGTATAGTGGTATCAACACTCTTATATGGGTGTGAAGCATGGGTTACAAATGCTGCAGCGAGGAGGCGGCTGGAGGCAGTTTAGATGTCCTGTCTAAGGACAATGTGTGGTGTAAATATTATGCAGAGAATTTGGAGTGTGGAAATTAGGAGGAGGCGTGGAGTTACTGAAAGTATTAGTCAGAGGGCTGAAAAGGGGTTGTTGAGGTAGTTTGGTCATTTAGAGAGAATAGATCAAAGTAGAATGACATGGAGAGCATATAATTCTGTAGGGGAAGGAAGGCAGGGTAGGGGTCATCCTTGAAAAGGTTGGAGGGAGGGGGTAAAGGATGTTTTGTGGGCGAGGAGCTTGGGCTTCCAGCAAGCATGTGTGAGCATGTTAGATAGGCGTGAATGGAGATGAATGATTTTTGGGACCTGACGAGCTGTTGGAGAGTGAGAAGGGTAATATTTTGCGAAGGGATTCAGAGAAACCGGTTAGCCAAACTTGAGTCCTGGAAATGGGAAGTACAGTGCCACACTTTAAAGAAGGGGTTTGGGATATTGGCAGTTTGGAGGGACTTCTAAACTGTCATATTTGAATGACTCTGCAAAGAAAGTCATTATGTATGAGTGAGGTGAAAGTGTCGAATGATGACGAAAGTGGAAGACGACTGATGTATTGGAAAAAAAATATTAACACGCTCTCCTATGTGTATCTTTAATTTATCTTGTTTTACTTAATATTTGCAATATTTACAATATTTACTACTATATGTTGCAGCACCTCAACAAGACGTACAGCACAAATGTCCCTCTGGTGTTAATGAATTCTTTCAATACTGATGATGACACACAGAAGGTTATACGCAAGTACCATGGATTCCAGGTAAAGTTGAAGTTTTTCAAATTTCCTGAATTATGTTCCCTTGTATAAAATTATTGCTGACTTAGTCTTTGTTGGGTAGCAATGATTTCATTAACATGATATTGGCTATTAAAGTATTGCATGTGCATATGAAGGGATTCGGGGAATCTGGTTAGCTGGACTTGAGTTCTGGCGGTGAGAAGTACAGTGCCTGCACTCTGAAGAAGGGTTGGGGATATTTGCAGTTTTGAACTGTATTATTGGTGCCTCTCTGGCAAGACAGTGATGGAGTGAGTGATAGTGAAAATGCTTTCTTCTTTTACAGGTCTCCCTACCTTGGGAGATGGCCAGTGTGTTTTTTTTTTATTTTATTTCTTATACTGGTGGTTGCTGATAATTAGGTTACCTCTTCCTTATAGGATTGCCTGAATTGTGATTGCCTCATTTGATCAGCTTAAAATTCTCAACACTGGTGTATTGTAACTAGAGAGGTTTGTGTATCTGTTGACATGTGCAGGTGCTCTTGGATCAGTTTTATATGGACCATTTCTCCACTTAGTTTGTGTGATAACTTCAGAAAGCCTCTTTTGATCAGCTTCGTAATTTCAGTGCTGGTATATCATGCCTAGAAAGATTGTTATTGGAGTGTGTAGATGCCTATATGCCAATTTTATTTTTCAGATGTAGTATTTTATTTTTCAGGAAATAACTTGATTATGACTCTTTAAATGGCTTCAGTCTTTTAAGTGACTGATCTTATAAATAGGATAGTACCTTGTATGCTCAGCATTTGTAAATGGATATTTGTCAGTCACATAGCATAGTTAATGCCTCTTCTGATCAACTTCAAGCTTTCAGAGATAGTTAACTCTAATCAAACAAAGGGTGACATTAGTTTGGGTTGTACAAGTTTTACTTTGCCAGTTTTATTAAGCATGTAGGCATCTAAATTACCAGCAAAACCTGGTGGAAGCACTGATGTCCATACAGGGGTGATATTTATGTATATATAATATGCACAGCAGCCGAATTACAGCTACAAGGAATCCTGTATATTGTTGGTTTGGCCGAAGTTGTAAAGTAAAAGGACATTTAACCAATCTTTTATTCACATTTCCTTCAGGGCTTTGTCTTGCCGTAACGGTTGTTACAACTCCAGGTTTATGCAAACTGCCACAATCATTACTAGTGGACCTCCTCCTTCAAGTGTGGCACATGTAGTATCCCAGTTACAGGAAAGTTCCGGCACATAGGTACAATAAGGTCTGAATTATAAATGTTACATTTGACTCGATTCCAATGCAGGCGAGTAAGTAATTATAATATACCAATTGAGTTCCATGGTACAACTGCACTATCGAAAACCTCAGATGAATGCTGGAAGTCAAGACATCAATTTCCCTTTAATGTCTGCCCTAGAATTAACCACAATTTCTCAGCCAAATTCCAAGCACAGCATCAAAGGATTACAATCACTTGGTGCTTCATTAACCCACCCTATGCCAGACCCTCGCTTCTTCTCTACCCTCTAAAAATAAACACGGTGAATACAACCTGTCAAGGCCTTTTCGGAAAAAATTCCCCTTCCTCAACCCTGACCTACATCTGTAAAACTCTCACTTTAAGAATACCTCCTACATACACTTCAACTGACATTGACTTATCGTAACGCCTTTAAATCCTATGAAATCTTTACTATAATAGTTAATTTTGTAACATCTGGTATTACTTTTCGTATGGTTTATCGATGTTTGACCATTGAATTGATTAAATAAAAGGTTGAATGCATAGGTCCCCCACCCCTAACTTCCAAACTACGAATTCTCTGAAATTATATTCAAAACCAAACCATTGCCCTCAGACATGACATCTCCATTCCTCAGCCTTCTCATCCTGCAACATTCATTCACCCGCTTCACACCCAATAGAGCGTTGGTAAAACTATACTCTCATTGAATTCCTCTTTGCCTCCAAGGCAAAGTTCTTTGTCTCCACAGACTCCTAAGTGCACCACTCACTCTTTTCCCTCATCAATTCTATGATTCACCCATCTTTCTAAACCCTGAACGTCAATCCAAATATCGAATACGTTCCAACTTCGCATACTCTCTTACAATCGGGAAAATCTTATCATTTCATAAATTTTTTTTTTTTTTTTTTTTTTTTCATAAATTACTTTGACGCCAGGATCACCTGAATTGGGTTATTGCTTTGCATCACCCAGGGGTAAAAAATTTCAAGTTCATGCAATAGTAGCTCATTATCAGAATCTCTCAGGTAGAGTAGGAGAAGGTGATTATGTGCAAGAGAGTGTGATGATTGTATCAAAGGCATTTTGAAATTGTGATTCATTTATCTTTTATGTACCACGCCTTCTTCTCAAGTATACATCCAATCAGTTACATTTACTTCTCATTCAGACCTCCATGTAAAAAATAGTATTAAGTAAATTGTATTTACCAGATACATTTGGGAGTTGACATAGTACATCGGTGATAAGGTATGAGGCTACATATTTACTGAAAAAAAATTGATCATCATTTTGAGAGACTGTGGAGACTTAAGCTTATCTCAAGTAACAAATCTTACATGAATTATCAAAGAATACGTGACCTCCAGATATATTTTCACTCGATGACAGTATGTTCAAGTGCAGGTCTGACCTGAATTGCCCTAAGGAAAGTGAATGCATTACGTCCTTTCAGACCAAAATGACCGACAAAGAGATTATAAATAATACACTTATCAAATACTGTTCCCGTTCATATTTTTCACTCGTATACCGGTCCACAACGACCAATTGTTCCATAAAAGCGAGACTCCTATGTTCATTGTATGACCCAACTCCGTCTTAACCTATCTTTCAATATAACTTACATAACTTGTACCAGTACACTCAGAGGACGTTATGCCGCCACTGATAGTGTTTCAACCTCTTATATGTACCATTTGGGTTTATACAAAGGACTAGCAGCTGGAGGCCTGCAAGCCCAGTATTAATTCCGCTAAACAAGGTTCATATTAGCAGTTTGGTATTAAGAGGAGATTGACTAAACGTATAGCAACTGAAATCACGGGCTTTTAAATTTCTGGTCTTTAGTGCACCATCAATCCGGACTGACAGGCTTACCTCCTTTCATGTACCTACTGCCAACACGGAGGGTCACCACAAGAGGGGTACAGGAACTGCTCTTTTGGCGAGGACTGGCTTCCAGCAAGATGTGTGAGCATGTAGATAGGCGTAATGGAATGAAGATTTTTGGACCTGACAGCTGTCTGGAGCTGAAGGTAATATTTAGCGAAGGGATTCAGGAAACTCGGTTCCAAACTTGAGTCCTGGAAAATGAATACGTGCCACATTTAATAAGGTTTGGGATATTGGCATTTGGAGGGACTGCTAAACTGCATATTGAATGACTCTGCAATAGTCATTATGTAGAGTGTAGGTGAAAGTGTCGATGATACGAAAGTGGAAGACACTGATGTATTGGAAAACAAAATATTTAAAACACGCCACTCCTATTTGTACTCTTTAATTTATCTTGTTTTACTTAACTTCTTGCAATTTTTACAAATTTACTCATATATGTTGCAGCACCTCAACAAGACGACAGCACAAATTCCCTCTGGTGTTAATGAATTCTTTCATACTGTAATGACCCACAGAGGTTATACGCACGTACCATGGATTCCAGTAAGTAAGTTTTTCAATTTCCTGAATTATTTCCCTTGTATAAAATTATTGCTGACTTAGTCTTTTTGTAGCAATATTTCATTAAACCATGAATTGGCTATTAAAGTACTTGCATGTGCATATGAAGGGATTCGGATCTGGTTAGCTGGACCTGCGTTCTGGCGTGAAATCAGTGCCAGCACTCTGAAAGGGTTGGGTTTTAGTTTTGAACTGTATTATTGCCCTGATCTGCAAGACATGATTGGAGTGGTATAGTGAAAATGCTTCTCCTTTTACAGGTCTCCCACCTTGGGAGATGCACAGTAAGTGTTTTTTTTTTATTTTATTTTCTATATAACAGGTGGTTGCTGATAATTAGTTACCTCTTCCTTTGATTAGCCTGAATTGAGGTTGCCTACATATATCAGCTTAAAATTCCCTCACACTGGTGTATTGTAATAGCGGGTTATGTGTATCCGTTACATGTTCAGTTGCCTTGGATAAGTTTTATATGGACCATTACTCCACTTAGTTGTTGATAAAACTTCAGAAAGCCCCTTCATTTGATCACTTCAACTTACAGTGCTGTAACCCTCCTAGAAAGATTGTTATTGGAGTGTGTAGATGCTATATGCCAATTTCCTTTTCAGATTATATTTTATTTTTCAGGAATAACTTGATTATGACTCTTTAAATGGCTTCATCTTTAAGTGACTGATCTTCAAATAGGATAGTACCTTGTCCTCAGCATTTGTAAGGATATTTGTCAGTCACATAGCATAAGTTAATGCCTCTTCTGTCAACATCAACGCTTTCAGAATATTAATCCTAATCAAACAAATGGTGACATTGTTTCGTGTACAAGTTTTACTTTGCCAGTTTTATTAAGCATGTAGGCATCTAAATTACCAGCAAAACCTGGTGGAAGCACTGATGTCCATACAGGGGTGATATATAGGGAAGAAACAGAAAAAATGCACCAGCAGCGAATACAGCTACAGTGAATCCTGTATATATGTTGGTAGAATTGCCGACAGTATGTAAAGTAAAAGGACATAAGTACAACTAATGTGACATTTTATTGTTGGAACGTTTCGCTCTCCAGGAGCTTTGTCAAGCCGTAACGGCTTGACAAAGCTCCCGGAGAGCGAAACATTGCCACAATAAAATGTCACAGTAGTTGGACTCTGGCCCCTTTCAAGGCTGGCAACATTGCAGACCTGAAGTGTACAGAGAACTTTCACGGCACACATAGGTACAATAAGGCATCTGAATTACTGGGAACAGTTGAAGGTCCTTGATCTGTATTCCCTGGAATGCAGGCGAGAGAGATACATGATAATATACA